TCTCAAATTTCTCTCTATTATTTATTCATATTATTTTCATTCAAATTTATAACCTTATATACACTTATTTCAATATGTATATCGGGATTCAGACAATAACTCTGAAATATATCACAGTGATCACTATTGAAGAAAGGCGAGATAACCGAGAGTAAACAAAATTTTGCCTCTGTTTACTAAAAAAAAAAAAAAGAAAACAAACAGAAGACAGGTAACGACAGACTTTCCACTTTCTTAAGTTTGTCTATGAGTGTATTTCATTTATTGGTGAATCATCATCAGTCACGTGACGTCATCGTTTAATTTGTAAATATTTTGTTTAGATATCTCTTAGTTGTATTTTGAGATCTGGCGAAATTTGTAATAACAGCGGTGTGGTAGATTAAACTGGTGAAACCGCTGGGAGGGTTCACCACTGATGAACCAGGCCCTCCCATATTTTTTTTTTCCATTGCAGTAAGAGCAGTAGAAATTGTTTTATTTTAAAAAGAATCATACGCGTCTATAATAGTTTCGAATTTTCATAACAGATGGCGCGCTAATGCATCAAACACTTTCCTTGTTAAAATAAAATTGTTTTATAATTACACGTTCTGGTCTCAGATATAATAATGATATGGAACCAATTAAATGTTGACATGAAGCTCCAGGACAGTGTAATGATATAAAACATGAGATGAATGCTTTTTTGGTGAATTTCAATGAAAATATAAACGTAATTGTAGAACGACGTTTGACAAGTTTTACCGCAAATGTCTCTTTTGAACGAAAAAGCGTAATTTATTTTAAGGAGAAATAACGACTATTTCTATCCTTAGGGATGAAGTATGGAAGGATGAATTATGAAGGGTAATGATGAACGGAAAAATTCCCATCCCTGGACACTTTATTTTTACGTTCATCATTACTCTTCACAATTCATACTTTCATACTTCATCCCTAAGGATAGAAATAGTCGTTATTTCTCCTTAAAATAGATTAAGATTTTTCGTTCAAAAGAAACATTTGAGGTAAAACTTGTCAAATGTCGTTTTACAATCATAAGCCACATTATATTGTATTATAAACGTAATTGTCATCTACGACCGTCCATGGAATTCAGATTCGATCAAACAGATTGAAGTCAGAGAAAATGGCACGATATCTTTGGTCAAATTTGGACAAAAATAGCTATAGTCCCATTCAGTACAAGGACAGCTTCGTGAAATCCTACAGAAGGATTTATAGAATCAGTCTAATCGGTCAAAAGATGTTGTTCTAAGATCGTTTTCAGGTCAAGACACATTGTAAAATTGAGTAAGAAAGTTATTGATAAAAAAGAAGAAGAAGCAAACCACGCATAGATCTCCAAGCGCTATGCCAGGAATCGGCAAACTTTTGAGTCGGAAGAGTCAAAAATTACAATTTACAAAATTTCAAACTTTTTAGAGAGCCACACATTTTTTTCTTGCCAACAATAAATAGTAAATTAAATTTTTAAAATTAATTGCCATCTATCGTTAAAATTTGTAACAAATAAATTTACTGTAAATGTGTTTCTTTTCAATAATATCATCAAATATTATCTCTACAGACCTTACTGCAATGATATGAGTTATTGAATGAGAGAGCTTGGCTCATCAGTAGTGAACCCTCTCAGCAGTTTTGTCAAATTAATCTCTAGACCGCTCTACTATTGTATTGGGTTCGGTTCCAAAATCACTTTATTAGGTACCGCTCAACAAGAGCAACCTAGTTTATGATAATTGAAACAATAAATAATATGTGAAGGTTATTCAGATATTAAACAAATTTTAACACGGGATTCAATCCCGGTTCATGACTGTCGGGAATCGAGCGTGTTACCCTCTCATCCACCGACTTATTTGTTATGCTATTGTATCTGGTTGGTTCAAATTCACATAAATAGGTACCGCTCAGCAAGAGCAACCTAGTTCATGATAATTGAACAATGAATAATATGTGAAGTGCTATTGTATTGGATTGGGATATACCCTGTATTTTCTATAGAAAGCAGCTTAGGGGTGTTTAGTGAGCCTATGGATATAAACTTATATTTGATTTAAGCAATAAATAGTACTCGCATAAATAATATTTACGTATGGAACTATATAAAGAGCCGCAGCTTCACATTCAAAGAGTCGCATGTGGCTCACGAGCCTCAGTTTGCCGACCTCTGCGCTATGCTGTCTAGACACCTAGGGTTTATTAAAGCAGCCATTCAGGGTCAGATGTTCCGCTTGACCCTCACTTCTGTAGAAGACCAATCAGTGAGAACAATGAAACATGGCCTCCTAGTTCCACGAACTGGAGTTGTTATCTTGGACGAACATAGGAATAATATCCATAGTCAGTTCTCCAGTCAATATTGTGTTTGCACTCTACTGGAAGTACACTAAATGTCAAGCGCCACGTAAACGACCACTTTTTCAATATTTCCAAAAAGGTCATCATCTTGAAAAAAAGTCCTAAATATCAATGGACGCTCAAAATCCGACTAGAAGCCACTAAAATTTACCTAAGACTTCAATATCACTTATGAGGACCATTTTATAGTCGTCTCTTTCATCATGCTTTAATTGTTAAATATAGTAACCTTTTCAATATATCCAAGAAGTCATCGCCTTGAAAACAAAGTATTAAATCAACTGACGCTCAAAATCCGACTAGCAATCATAAATATTTCCCCAAGACTTCAATATCTCTTATGAATAGCCCTTTTATAGCTGGCTTTTTCATCATCCCTCAATTGTTAAATATAGTAAACCGTTCTATATATATATATTAAAAATGCTCAAGTGATCTACTTACTTCTATAACAGCAGAACAATATTTGATCGTAAATCTCCCATTACCAGTCCAAAGATGTATCGTACAAATAACTCTTTTCACTGTTTAAAGAAATCCACGCTGAAATATTTAGCTCAACTGACCGAATATGTCCATTATGTAGTAAAACACCGACTCGGAACTGGAGCACCACATGTTTTCTGTTTAAAATTAAGAAGTGAAAGGGAACTTCTTTTACATAAAATTGGATCAAATAATATTTCTCTGGAGACTGTGTTGTCTAGGGCGATAAAGAATAAAGCCAATCAAAGTGGTGGTGGTGGTGCTTATCTCCATGGTTAAACCAATTCCTGAAGTCCACTCCTCTCCAATTTTGCGATGGTAGTTTTAGGTCTGGAAAATAGGTCCTCTATTGTCAGTTCTGAGCATGATATGTTCCGGAGAAGCTTCTGTACTATTGCATTTCAAGCAGTTATATTGAAGGTTTTTGTCCATTTTGAAATTTTAAGGTTTTTATATGGCTACTTCTTAGTCTTGCTAAAGCTGTTTGTTGATTTCTATTGAGTTTTTGAAGTTCTTCTAATTGTTTCAATGGTTCGTAACAGTGATGATTTGGATAAGCTGTCAGTTTTGATTTATTTTCCTTTTTTTATATACGTATATATTTCTTCAAAAGTAAGATTATGGCTATTGCTTGGTAAGTGACACGCCTTTTGGACAATTTGTCTGTCTCTTCATTAAGTGGTATGTCGACATGGGAAGGGATCCATTGGAAGTTTATTTTTTGTTTCAAAGTTCACACCATGACTGTGAACGGTATTTTAAAAATTGTACATGCAACACCACAGTTGTGATTGAAATTATTCAAAAAATAATACACACATTAAATACTGAATTTTTTTGTTTCCATTTGTTTAATCTAAAAATAGTCAAATGTGAGAGTGTCGTAAAAGGTGCCAGGTTTACTTTTGACAAGACCCGGTCTAATATAAATCCCTTTCCAGCTGGTTAAACCTTTTTATAAAAACATTTCAAAACAATAGAAATGTAATCGCCAATATGAATGTTAAATAAAATTATAACTAAACCTTAAAACATTTTTATAATTTTATAAAAATTAAATTCGTCTTTCTTTTCCCTTTTAATTTTTTGATTAAATGTTTTTATTGTTCTATCTTTTATTTCCTTTTCTACTCTCTATATATAACTAAATTATTCCTTTTTTATTTCTTAAGTTCTGCTTCTATGACGTGTAACTGCCGAAGGTTCTTCGTGAACTTGTTATAATGGTCAAATATGATACTAAAAAATATTTTTGAAACCTTAAATATAAGCCAATTCTACCTTTCCCCCTTAACCTTTTCTTTGCTCCTTATTCTTCAAACAAAACTATTTTTATTACTATATATAAAAATAGTCATATAATAATATATTTAATTAAAAAGGCATATATTGGAACAAAATATAATTTATTTTACCAATATTTCAGTTGGCTGAACGCCAACCTTTATCAAGGTGTTATAACATATTTGCTCTGGAGTTATAACACCTTGATAAAGGTTGGCGTTCAGCCAACTGAAATATTGGTAAAATAAATGATTTTTTTGATCCAATATATGCCTTTTTAATTAAAGATTTATTTATGGATTGCTCTATTTTCAAAATAATAATATATATAACTACGTTCAAATTAAAAACATATATTAGAGCGAAAAGAAAAAAATAATTTTAAAAAAGTGACGAAAGGGTAAAGTAACATATCCTGACCGCTCTAACAATTATTTTATGTGGCAAGGCGCCATCTATAGGATTAAATACTAACTAAATGGTGATTTTGGTTTATTCCAGCTATTGGCCAATCTGACGAGGGCCAACATAATGATCGCCTTTTTCTTGGCGTGATTTGAAAAAAATGACATCTTTATTGCAGCTATATCGCAAAGTTTGGGTGATGGGTAGACATTGAGGCTGTCTTTGCTATGAAGCTAGGTAGCTTATGCAGTATTTGACCCTAATCAACTTCAGGTATAGCAGATACAATATAATGCGGCTTATGATTATAGAACGACATTTGAAAATTATCCCTCATGTGTTTCTTCTGAACGAAAAATCGAAATTTATTTTAAGGAGAAATAATGATTATTTCTAACCTTAAGGATGAAGTATGAAAGGATGAATTGTGAAGAGTAATGATAAACGGAAAATAAAGTGTCCAGGAATGGAAATCGAACTCACAGTGTTCAATTTACCGGGCAGATGCCATGTCCACTAGACTACCCTGGACATATTTTTCCTTTCGCAAATATTATATAAAGTAATTTATAATACAAACTTAGCTCTGAACTTCGACCATCAAATCTCATACAGAAATTCTAACCAAATCGATAATGGTTGAGCAGTTCTGTCATAAGTTTTACAAGTTTTGGTACCATTTCAGAATGGGAATCGAATTAATAGATATAATATTGTTAATGATAGGAAGATAGCTTTTAAAGAATAGTGGATGGTTGTGTGAAATAAGGAATAAATGGTTGTTATGAAGTATAATTGACGATCAAGGTTGATAATGGAGTGTTGATTGGGTAAGAAATGGACGTAGGCCAATATTGCTCAGGTTGGCTGAAGGAAGCTGTTGAATTTGATAGCGTCCTTGGTTTTTTTTTTGTCATCAATTCTTTCTATGTTGAGTACATTAGAATTGTCATTTGAGTATTGAAACAAAATGTGATGACACTTAGCGACTTCTATTGCTGTCTGATGATGTCTAGGACTCTCCCTAACAACATTGTCTTCTTTAAACCTTGTATAAACTTGGAGTTCATATCTTACAAGAATTCATACGATTAACTTCTTCAATGTATTTAAAATTCGATAAAAGTAAAACAAAGAAGCTCTCGGCAGAGCTGACTGCTACAAGGCGCGTCCCCAGGTGGTGGATAGGAGAACAACTTTCAGATATGAAGGCCAGCTGCGAAACAAGCACAATAACTCTGACAATTAAGCAGTTATGGACCAACAGCAGCATTGTTATAAAGAGGAGAATAACCTCTTTAAAAATTATTAGTTCAACTGACCCGGTTGATAAACTTCAGCAAGGGTCCCACTCAAGGGATACGGAGGAGCTGCGTCTGTACTCATGTTAGAGTCAGCAGAAAAGGCTTCCATGTTAGGAATGGCCTCAAATTACAGGCAAAGTCAGACTTTCACCAAAGTGTGCAATGGTGCCATGATCAAGGAAAGCTGCAACCCTACACCACATTCCATGAGATAATGGACTCATGCAATATGTGTAAATTTTGAACAAGGGGATAAGAAACAACAACAACAAAACAAAATTATCAACATAATAACAATAATCAATTACATATCGGTTACACACAAACTTTTTCTTCCAAAATCACTTTATTAGGAACCGCTCAAAAAGAGTATCCTAGTTTATGATAATTGCAACAATGAATAATATGTGAAGGTTATTCACATAATAAACAAAATGTTAACGCGGGATTTGATCCCAGTTCATGACTGTCAGGAATCGAGGGTGTTACCCACTCGTCCACCGACTCTTTAGACGGACATATCTTTATTTACGGGGCTGCTAACTAGAATGGATGAAAAACTTGACGAAACCCGGGAACGAAAAAAAAAGGTGCCGTGACCAGGATTCGAACCTGGGTTATTGCGGCCATAACGCAATACCCTTAACCACTAGACGATCACGGCGACAATTATTTACACAGCGGACCGTAAATATCTTTATTTACGGGGCTGATAACCAGAATGGATGATTTTGAACCCCGAAGAAAAATTCCCACGCGGAGAATCGAACCCGGGCCTTCTGGGTGAAAGCCAGATATCCTAGCCACTAGACCACGTGGGAAAACTCTTTAGACACAAACTCCAAGTTCCAAAATCACTTTATTAGGTGCCACTCAAAAAAGAGCAACCTAGTTTATGATAATTGCAATAATGAATAATATGTGATTATCCATATATTAAACAAAATGTAAACGCGGGATTCAATCCCGGTTCATGACTGTCGGGAATCGAGGGTGTTACCCACTCGTCCACCGACGTATGTGACACACAAACTAGAAAAACAATAAAACGTCAATACAAAATAATGATATAGCAGTAGAGTATCTAATGAAGCGATAAATTTCAAAATGAACTTTAATTATGGAGTGATAATTAAGATAGTTAATGATCTACCAACCATTATCTAAAAGATCTGCCCTTCAGTGTAATTGCCGACAATTACTGCCCCGGGATCTAAGGACACCTGCCCAGCTAACTACCCCGTTACCCTTACCTGGCCTCAGGCCACTGGGAGACCTCCCCACACTCAAATGACATCTTTTACAAATGGTAATCATGGTGATTTCCGCCTCTTTTTTTTATGAAAGTTTAGTTTTTTTTTTTCTTCTAGAGGGTAAAACTTCCATCTAGAGACCATCAGCGTACTACCAAAAGCTACAGATAAATATATAATAAAACATATATGGAATATAAATATTGCAAATAAAAGCCTTATATATACCAGTAGAGTATAACTTGACTAATTTCCGAATGTCTTTAATTCGAATATTTATCTTGGTCCCTAGACTTTCCGTTTTTAATTCGATTTTTTGGATGATTCGATTTTTTTTTGTCTCTTGGGCTTCGAATTATCCAATTTTGACTGTATTTATCATATTATTGATTTATTTAAATATTTAATAAGTTTTAAAACATATTTATTTATTTATTATATATACAGTAGAACCTCCCTATAAAGGACAACACCTAATTGTCAAGCCAAAGTGTCCTTTATTGACAGGTGACCTCTTACCGGAGAGTTGCTAAATTGTAAAAATGATAATTTTGCAAATTAAAACTGTCCTTTGTAGAGAGGTATCCACTAAAGGGAGGTTCGACTGTATTTAAATATCGTTTTGAAAATAGAGAGCAATCCATAAATAAATATTCAATTAAAAAGGCATATATTGGATCAAAAATAATTTATTTTACCAATATTCAGCCAACTGAAATATTAGTGAAATAAATGATATTTTGATCCAATATATGCCTTTTTAATTAAAGATTTATTTATGGATTGCTCTATTTTCAAAATATATCTTTATATCAAAAGGAAATCGCTTGATCAGGATTTCACCAAATCTTATCAGTTAATATTTAACGTCTTCTTTTTTTAAAAGACGATATTCCAAACGTATATCAGCAATAGTAAGAATTTAATATAATTAGTGAGGCATTTATAATTAATTTTTTTACTATATATATATATATATTCAAAAACCCAGAAAAAATAGTTTTATAAGATAATGGCCTCTATGAATTTTCTTCAAGTTCAGTTCATCATAGAAAACAATGTTGCCAAGTAAATCTCCCAAAAAAACTTTCTTTATATTTTCACATAAAACATTTTTTTTTTTCAAATTTAGTTAGTTGTGTTCTGTTTGTGGAAGTTAAATGGAAGTTTGGCTCGCCCGAAATTCGATTTCGAAAATAGGAAAAGTTGTTCTTAAATGTACGTCTGTTATTTTATTTTAGCTTCTTTTTTTCTTTTCGATATTTTATTCTGAATAAATTTGTTTGTTTGATATAAGTTCTGTTATGTAGTAAGTAACGGGGTATCTAAACCTTATATTCAAACATTTTTATTACATTTTAAGTTTTTAATTTCCATATATACATTCATGGACAAAACTTAAGGAAGTTTCATATTTTTATGACAGTCGTCTGTTTTTTTTTTTTCAAGAAGATAGAGGCAATTTTGTTCACACTTGGTCATCGTGAATGTCTTCAATAAAGATCACTGTGTATCAAATATCAAATATCTTTCAGAGTTATTGTCTGAATCTAGATATTCCTGATGAAAGGTACAACTTTCTCAAGTTGGAAAGAAGGCTCTGAGTAAAAGAAAGGATCTGCTGTAAAGGAGGCTCTAGTTTGGAGGGAAATTTTGCATGGGCCAGAAACATGCTCACTGAGAAAGACATAGGAAAGGATTGAATAGAACAAATATTAATATGAAATATGTTTATGAAAACATTCTAGAAGGTAAAAACAAAATGGAAAGAGAACGATAGAAAAAATATTTGAATTGATGTGAAGGAGAAACTATGGAGAACTGAAGACTAAAGAGCCACTAGGTATCAGAAGCTGGTCAATAGTAGGGAAAATGAAGAAGTTGAGAAAAACATTGAAACTTGAAGCTGTTATATTCAAGTTGAGATTATCCATGTTGGGGCCCGCACTAACAGAGCTATTTGCTAGTTTGCCGATTCGACGGCGCGGGCTGATCGGGAAATCTACTTACGCAGCGACCCATTTGAACGCGCTATACAATCTCTGGTTGTGGTTGGTTGTCTTAGTACTGGTACCCTCACTACTAATCCTTGATATCACACTTCAGTTTCAATTTTTTAAATATATATACAGCCAAAGAATTTTTATTAACACTTTTTTTACCTAAACCCTTTCTTATTTTTACAAAAGAAAATCTATCGTTTTCCAGCACTTGTTGAATTATTCCTTCTTTATCTAATCTTATACAATCAACACCTGTCTTTCTTTTATCTTCCCTGGCCTAGGGATTCTAACCTTTTTGAACAACCTTGGTGGCATGCAGCACCTTGATACTTTGATATAGTGTATTGCGGCTTGTCTGCTTGCTACATTCATTTTGGGGCTCAAAAATCATACAATTTGGTTAGTAGCCCGTAAAACCATATTCTCTAACAGAGCTAGTGAGTTCTAACCCTGCTCGTAGATAGGGGGGGGGGGGGGGGGGCAATTATATAATGGCCACGTTATAAAGGCAATCCGGAACTAAATTCTTTGAAAGCCAAATTATTTATTCAAAAGCCTTCTAACAGCGAGCATAGTTTAAAAAAATGGTTGTGACATAAACAATAGTCGACTGTTGAAGAACAAGGTGTTAAAAAGTGCCTACAGACAGCAAAGTAAACTTATGTTTGAACGGGTTGTTTGTGGATAAAAACTGCCCATTCACTAAGTATTTTCAGTTCTTGGTTATAAAATGGTAGATAGGTAGACAATTGTAAGACCACTCTGCATTATGATGTAGATCCATGCTACAGAGACGATTCTCCCAGCATCCTGCTGTAGAGATAAGTGCCCTGGCGTGACACCCGTCCTGCACGCAACCAACGGACGGCGGCTCTCTGTGTGGGTATTGTTTACTTTATATTCCTGTTGTATTTAGCTTTTAATACCCGGCTCGAAGCCGTGGTCTACTTTCTTTTAATTGTCTACTTGAC